AATGGCATCGCTATCAATAGACTGAGATCAACCCCAGACAGAATAGTTCAGGATCCTCATAACTCTGGCTATGACAGGCATTAACCCCTTAGTTATTAGGTAGTGAGTTGGTCCATGGTCCAGAAAGAGTATTTGAGGTAGATCAGGTACCGGGTGTGGGAACTTAGGACAGTGGCTACCAACCAGAAAAGAAATATTTCAAGATTTTATCCACTGGCAAGTATACACCACCATGTGCTGGCTAATTGACAGCCTGTTTTAGTTCAAACTCCCCTACCAAATACCTCTGTATAGTTTTAATTGATCTCTCATTTAGAACATAATGTTATGATTTAACTTGCATTAAAATATCAAAATCGGGCCTCCCCGGTGGCACAGTGGTTGAGCACTGGGTTGAGAAGCTGCCCTTAGCCTCTGCAGCGCTGGTTCGATCGCCAGCCACCAGGTGAGGGTCCCACATGGCGCGCAGACCTCTCCTGCTGTGCTCGCTGCTCCCCTCAGCAGTGTACTTCGTCAGTCTGCCTGCTCTGCTCTCCGCTCTGACTCTGATGAATTCTCTCACCCTCCCGTGCTTCTGACTGTACCCAGTGCTTGCATAAATAAATAAATCTTTAAAAAATATTTATCAAAATCTTCCTATTTGAGCAATGGATTATATACCACAGGACATAGCGAAACAAACTGACCATGTTGTTAACAACAAAATTTTAGGACTTAAAAAGTTAAAGGGAAGTAGAGTCATTTGATGGAGAGATTGAAACTATCTCAAATTTAGATTCTCTCACTTTATTGTAGGTTGAGGGTTCAAAACATAAATAACATTATAGTACTGCAATTTCCTCTGCAATTTCCAAATTCAGAATTATATTTTACAATGAGATCAATTAAACAGATTGTTAGATGATGTGTTAGCAAACTAAACCATACCTACCCTAAAAGAAATCTGGGTCAATAGTCTAAAGATCCTCACACCAATGCTGTTTTCTAGTGGTAATGTTATTTCCTGACAAATATTTAAATGTTCCAGCATTTAATTTAACCTCTCTTGATGGCATTTTTCCTTATTCACTTTTTCATGGGTCTCATGCTTCACAAACATCACAGTGCACATGAATCTCCTGGAAATGTTTTTAAAATAAAGTTGCTGATTCCTTGGTTTTGGAGTGGGACCTGAAATTTTGCCTTTCTAAAAATGTCAAGGTCTGTCCCCAGATGAGCAACCTCAGCATCAAAGTGAAAAGTGTGACACATGCAAATTTGCAGGTTCCAAGCAAGACTTATTCGCAAATCAGGAACTCTGGAGGTAGGGCTCCTAGGAATTTTTTTCAACAAGTCCTCTATGTGAGTCAATCGCAGGGTGTTGAGGAACCTCTGGTCTGCACTTTGATATCCCACTGGAATCAAGTAGGGAGTTTTCAAAATTTGCAATGCCCAAGTCCCCCTTCAGGCATATTGTCTCATAGGCTTTGGATTGGGCTGAATCCTATTTACTTTTTAAAACTCCCCAGGGAATTCTAGTGTCCAGTCATGAGAACTACTGCCCTAGGAGAAAACAAATGATAATTGAATTGTACACCCTTAATTGAATTGTACACCCTTACCTATTTGACAGATAAATGATTTAGATTTCTTTCATTTGGCTTAAATTTTAATTTTCAAATGCTCATGTTAGGTCTCATAAAATAGCTGAAACTTTTTCCTTTGCTCTAAAGTTATCCAAATAAAAGTTGGGTATTAAAAAGTATACAGGAGATATAATCAGCTTGGAGAATAATAGACATATGCTAAATATTTGTGGGATTAAAAAACATGTATGGGATACTTCTTAGTTCTGACATGCCACATTTCTAATTATGAATCCTCAATTTGTGTTTGTCTCAATTTTGCAATGAGGCACTGCAAACTCAGGTTAACCTCCTAGTTACCTGAAACATGCAACTGAAATCAGCTCTTGATTTTACAGTATTAAACTTCCTATGATTGGGGTTAATCATTAAACTTTCCTTGATCTTTTTAGGATTTCAATGAAATTAATCCCCTATTTAAAAGAAATGACAGTCCTTAAATGCAGGCACTTGTGCTGATCTCAAGACTCACTATACTCATTGTGGTTTAAGTTTAACCTTCCCCAAGAATGAAGTCCCAACTGGTCAGTATGGTCAGCATCAATGAAATAACTATTGCATTGCCCACAAGAAAGGTAACGTGCCAGAAGACCCTTTCTCCAATTCCAATAGATAGGTTACCTAAGCCTGAAATATTTCCCTCTTCCCTTTCCTGTCCTCTTTCTGCCTATAAGAGGCTCTCATTTTGTGCAGCTGTCCACAGACACTTTCTACTTGCTAGATGGGATACTGACCAATTCAGGAATCATTGAATAAGGCAATTAGAACTTTAAAATTCACTTGTTTGGGTTTTTGTTATTTAACACTCCCAATGCCATACTTTCATTTTTTACAAGGTCTATGTAGAATATCATAGGCCTTGTAAATTCATAAAGCTAGAGCAAGAGGCAAGACTTTATTCTCATAGTTGAATATTTTCCGGCTATAATGCTCCCTTTTCTTTGACCTGGAGCAAAAAATACTATGCAAAATAGGGTATTATAACTTTCTAGAACCTTTTAGTACATTTGATTTCTATGTGAATTCTCAAAGTTGGAGATGATCCAAAACAACCCTCTCCCCTAACAACTGAATTGCTGCCCCTTTTCCTTCTTCCGCACCTGAACAAAAGTCTATGTCTATATGAAGATATATTTCTTACCCCAGGATGAATCCAATCACTCTCTGAATAGTAGGAAGTACATGACTTGATAGGAGCCATTGGGATCATACTGAAGAGCTGAAATACTGATTTTTAAAACTAATGCCAATTTCAGAACATTTACTCAGTGATTGCAAGAAGCCTGCACAAGGACTGTTAGAAGCACTTCATAAGATTTTCTCCTAAGCATCTGCTCAATATCACATCCTCATCAGTTTGATACATGAAGGCAACTTCTTTCTTCTTACTATCTCATTAAACTCACATAATATCATTGCTGGACTGTGATATATTTATCAATTTTTAACTTTCCCATTACAATGTAAGTTCCATGAGGACAGGAGTTTTGTTTCCTTTCTCTCATTCTCTTTGCTACCAGACATCAACGTAAGGCACAGTGCAGTCTGCTCATGGCTCTCTTAGAAGCAAATGTACTCTTGTCCCAGAAACCATTTAGCTCACAGTATTTAGTAAAACTGTTTCAGTCCTTGTCCTGTTAATGTGGTCTGATCCTCCATTAGCTTTATGACCTTCATGAATTAAGTTACACTTCATTATTCTTACTAGTGAATTGACAGGTATACTCTATCTAGTGCTTTGGATAAAGCGTAAATTTGCAGAATACAGCAAAGTAAAATTAAAATTTTATAAATTTTATAAACAAGATCAATAGTATACCCAAAGACAGAATAATGTGTCCCAGGGTGGAGGTACAGAGTTTTGCACTTGACAAGAGTCTAAACCAAAGCCATTAAAGAAATTTAATGTCAACCAAAAAAAGACTGTGAGCATCAAAACAGAAAAATAGTTTTGAGAGGTGCACCTTGGACTATTTTATCAATCACTATATGCAAGAAAAGACACAGAAGCTAGAGTTCAGTAGGACTCTGTGGACTCTGTCCTGGTTACAGTCACATTCTGTCTTGAACACATTATTCTAATATCATCTGTTTCACTCCTTTCTAATTGCTAACACATATATTCCTTGACTATTCTTTGAGTTTACTAAACAGTAATGAGTCCATTATAAGTTAATAACTTACCAGAGTACATACACTGATACTAATCTTAGTATATAATTTACTCTAATGCTACTTGTCATTACAAATATTTTTAACAGGGCCTCCCCGGTGGCGCAGCGGTGGAGCGCTGGGTTGCGAAGCTGCCCGCGGCCTCTGCGGTGCCGGTTCAATCTCCGGCTGCTCCCCGGCCACCAGAGGAGGGTCCCACATGGTGCGCAGACCTCTCCTGCCGCCCGCTGCTCCCCTCAGCAGTGTACTTCGGTCCTTCTGCCTGCTCTGCTCCCGGCTCTGGCTCTGGTGAATTCTCTCACCCTCCCGCGCTTCTGACTGTACCCAGTGCATGTATAAACAAAACAAACAAACAAGCAAACAAATAAATAAAGAAAAACATGCCTCTGTTAAAAAAAAAAAATCTTAAAAAAAAAAAAAAAAAAACAAATATTTTTAACAAACTTTATTGTTCTACACATTACCCTCTTTAATTTGGCAACTTAAATAATCTCAGTATATAAGGTGAAAGTGGAATTTCTGACCCTACAAGACAAGAAATCCTTAAAAATGGTTTTACTTAGGTGTATCCGCATTTCCCTAAGTCTGCTAAAGCAACATATACCACAATCACATTGTTGGAAAACTAATTATGCTAAAGTTTTTCATTTTCATTTAGTATTTATTTAGCATTTGCTTTGTGACAGTTCTTGTCTAGCTAACTCAATAATTAATATCTCAATGAATTTCTCACAATGGCAAATGAGACAGGTCCTGCAATTATGCCCATTTTACCAATGAGGAAACAGACTCAGAAAATTAAGTTCACTGACATTAACAACAGCCAGGGTTCAAACCCAGGCAGCCTAACTCCAGAATATAGTTAAGTCCTCACTTAACATTAATAGTAAGTTTTTGGAAAACCAGCATAACAGTCCTCAAATAACATCCTTTAGTTCAACATCTGCTGAGATTCTTTTTTCTCATTAACATTTTAACAAAATGATATTGAACAGAAGGACATTATTCAAGGACCTGCCACACACGCTGGCAACCATCACTATACTGTTCCTATGAAGAGTAATGCTGCATTTGAAACTTTAAAAAAATCTTTATGTCCAAAGTTATATTTTCGATGTCTTTTAACATTTTACAATAGTGTAAAATAACAACCTATTCTACCTCACTATCAGATACAAAAGAAGACACATTTAAATATCTTACCAGTTATTCTTGTCATCACAGAAAAGAATGTTGGTGAAAAATGACACAGGTTTACATGACTTGAAGACGAGGTGGCAGGTAACTGCAACATTAGCTCCATTGGGAGAGCCTGTGATCTTCATGCCATTTGGAAATGTCACGGCAAGAGGGTGGGTCTCCTCACCATCAAAAAGTCTTGCTGTGGGAATCCTGACATGTAAAGTTGAATCACTGTTTAAAAATTAAAAAAGAAAAACTTAGTCCAAAATATATACAAGTAATTAGATTTAAATGTGTTTTTCCTTGGTATTTGAGTGATTAGAAAAATTAAATCAACAAATATTTATAAGAATATGCCCTAATATCAAGGACTTTTTATAACATTTCTTCTTTTCTGGTCACAACGTAAGTAAAATTGATAGTATACTGATTTAACTGAGAACCACATAAAATGATCAAAACTTCTTTTCATCTTTTAAGGGTTATAAAAAGTAGGATTAAGACACCTGACTAAATACAATGTGTTTTAAACCACAGTCATGATATAAATACTATTGTCCTTAAATATATCCTGACAAACATTTACCAAAAATAACCACTTTAATAACTAAAATTTCAACATATGAGAATTATTTAACAAACGCAGAAACACATATTATTTGTTTAATTTTAATACTATTAAACACTTACATACATATGTCATGAATATTTTTCATTTACTACAAAAATGCACTTAATGTTAACATATTTCATTATATATAAGTTATTTAATCAATCTAAATGTAATTTTAATAACAGTATGTAGTATTCACTTTTGTTTTTTAAATATTTATTTATTTATGCATACCAGAGCTGGGGTACAGGCCAGAGGTGCAGGGAGAGGATTCATCAGAGACAGAGTGGGGAACAGAACAGGCAGACTGACTGAAACACACTGCTGAGGGGAGCAGAGGGCGAGACTGGCGAGGTCTGCTGGCCGGGGATCGAACTCATGCCCTGGAAGCTGCAGATTGCTTCATAGTGCTGTGCTTAACCCCTTGTGCCACCAGGGAGGCCCCCAACAGTATGTAGTATTCACTTTTAAAAATCTCATTAATGCTTCACAACTTTTAGTAGTCAATAAATATTTAATCGTAAATTACTTTGCTTCACTATATTATATATGTAGGCTCTCATAGCCAATAAGAAGTGTTATCAAATAGGAATCATATTTCCCTAGTATTTTTACTAGAGTGTAGATTTTTAGCTAATTAACTAAAAGAAGAAACATCTCAACTTGAATTAATTAAACTAATATGGTTCATTGGATAAAGCATGGAAAGTAATTTGTAAATCAGGTTTGAATCCAATTCTGTTACTAATTAGAAAAGTATGCCAAAAACAAAAGACAAACTGAAAAAATTTTAATTATGAAAAAATCGCTAAGCACTTATAACTCAATAACCACATTAAATGTAAATTGCTTGAATTCACTGAGTTAAACGATATCGAGTGGCTGACTGAATTTCAAAACAAAGTCTAACCTTTTGCTGTTTACAGGAAACTCATTTCACCAACAAAGACAAGCACAGATTTAGAGGCAAAGACTGGAAGACAAACGGCGATCAGAAAAAGTCAGAAACTGCTATACTTACATCAGGTAACATAGATACACTATATGCACCAAATGATGGAGCACCAAGATAAATAAGGCAATTATTAACAGAACTATAGTGAGGTATCAACGATAATAATAGTAGGAAATTTTAATACATCTTGTGCAAATTATTTCTAAGAAGAGGGAATGCTCGCCAACATATTTTATGATGCAGCATTGCCCTAATACAAAAAACCGAAACAAGACAGCACAGGAAAACTGCCAACTAATGAATATAAATATGAAAATATTCAATATTTAAAAAATCAAATTAAAAAACACATTATGAGGATTATACATCATGATCAAGTATAATTCATCCCATAGATTCAAGGATAGTTTAATATACATAAATCAATAACAACTTATCAACAAAACAAAAAGATAAAAACTGTAAGTGCAGAAAGAGCATCTGACAAAATTCAGCATCCACTTCTGATTAAAAAAACTTCCAAACGATATGAAAACAGGAAGAACCTATCTCAACATAATAAAGGCCATATATCACAAACCTACAGCCAATATAATACTTAATGGAGAAAACTGAAATCTTTGCCTTTAAGATCAGGAAGAAAAAAAGGATGTTCATTATCACAACCTCTGTTTAATTCAGTATTAGAGATAATAGGTACAGCCATCAGATTGGAAAAGATGTGAAACAATCATTATTTATAGATGAGGTGATACTATATATAGAAAACCCTCCAGACTGCCAAAATGTTATTCGAAACAATAAGTAACAGAAAAATTGTAGGTTACAAAATCAACACAAAAATCAGTGGCCTTATTGTATAAAAATAATGAATGAGAAAAAAGAAATTAAAAGAACAGTTCCTTTAACAATCACTTCAAGAAAACCAATACCTGGAATTAACCTGACTAAGGAGGACCATTGTGCAGTACTTACACAATGAAAACTACAAGACATTTCTAAGGGATATAAATCATGACATAAGGAAATGGAAAGACACTGTATGTTCACCATTGGGGACAATCATTATAGCTAATTGATTATTGCCCCAGAAGCAATGTATAAATTTAAAACCCCCCATTAAAATACCAGCAATATTCTTCAAAAAAATTGAACAAAAAAGTAATTTACATGGTACCATAAAGGGCCTTAAATAGTTAAAGCAATATTGAGGAAAAAGCAGTGAAATGGAGGCATCATATTACCTGACATCAAACTATACTAAAAAGTAATTAAAATATGAATAACAATGTATCAGAATAAAGGTAGATATAGGGATTAAGGGAACAGAATAAAAAGCCCAGAAATAAATCCACATACATATCCATAGATCATTCATAATAAAGGAACCACAACAATACAATGGAGAAAAAAGAATCCCCTTAATCAATGGTGCTGGGAAAACTGGATAACTACATGTAATAAAATGAGTCATTCTTTAACTCTGTGCACAAAAATAAATTCAAATTGGATTAAAGATATATATAGATGAAATGCATTGAAGAAATCATTGGCATTACATTTCATGACAGCAGTAATAAAGATGTCTTTGGACTCTCGACCCCTAAGGCAAGGGAAATAACAACAAAAATAAAATAATTGGCATTATCTCCATTTAAAAAGCTTTTAGACAGGAGAAGAAAATATAAGTAGTTTAAAAGACATCCTAATAATGGGATAAAATATCTGTATATTACACAACCAACAAAGAGTTAATATAAAAAATATATAAAGCACATTCAACAATTAAAAAATAAACAATCCAATTAATAAATGGGCAGCATATCTGAACAAAAAATTAACCAAAGGCTATCCAGAAGGCAAACAGATAAATGGATAAATGTTCATCATTATTTTTAATAAGGGAGATGCAGTTCAAAATCACAGTGAGTTATCATCTCATGAGAATGGTATATATTAGAAAGCCCCTAAAAAACAAGCACCTGAGAGGATGGGGAGAAAGAGGAACCCTATTATACGATCGGTAGAAAAGTATAAACTAGCAGAAATTTGGGAAAGTGATTTGGATTTACTTTATAAACTAAACATGGAGGGCCTCCCCAGTGGCATAGTGGGTTGAGCTGCTGTCCACAGCCTCTGCAGCGCGGGTTTGATCCCGGGCAGCCGGTGAGAATCCCACATGGTGTGGCAGACCTCCCCTGTCATGCCCGCTGCTCCCCTCAGCAGTCTATTTCTGTCATCTGCCTGTTCTGCTCCCTGCTCTGTCTCTGGAGAATCCACTCACCCTCCTGCTCCTCTGACCTGTACCCTAGCTCTTGTATAAAAATAAATAAATCTTTTTAAAAAAACTATAAAAATAAAACTAAACATGGAAACACCAAATGAGCCAGCAATCTCATTCTTGGGTATCTATCTAAAGAATAAGAAACCATCACCCCCCAAAATTGTATTATCTACAGTGTTTACTGCAGCATTATTTATAACAGCTTAAAAATGGAATCAATCTAAGTGCCTACAGATAGGACTGGTTTAAGAAGATGTAGTATAGTTTTGTCTGTTACTTTGTTTTTTTACTTTAAATTATAAAGAAAGTGAGATAAGAAATTCATGTTTTAAGGCACTTACTAAGTTTGTGGTAACTCATCACATACTAGTAGACGACTGATACACTGAATTTTAAAGTGTATTTCTTTATATTATGACGAGAAACACAGCAAAAAAAAAATAAGAAAAGTCAGTGACTAAATCTGAGATAATTTAGTTTTTTACATTTTTAATTTAAATGAACAGTTAAATATTTTAGTAGTTTTTTCTGAAAAGAGAAACAAGTCAGATGTTACTCGTGACTCATAAACACAGAAGAAAGACACGTAAAGAAAATGTGGGAAACTCATTATTACCTGAAATAATTTTGAGGCAAAATGTTGATATCCATCACAGTTGCTACTCCCAAAGGAACAGGAGTGAAAAGTATGAATGGAGGGTCAAACGATAAGTTGGGTGATTTTACCTCTCCAATCAGATGTAACGTTCGATAGCAATGTGGATTATCATTTAAATACATAGGGATATCAACTGTGTATTTTTTGGGATGATCTGCTGAGAAAAAATTAAGCACTGTAGATTCATACACATATACACACAAAAACATTTACATAGTTAAAATCTTACTAAACATAGAAATGTACTAGGAAATTCCAACTCAATGGAGAATAGATTACACAGAAAGTAACTTTATCCTGCCAAGGGACTTAATGAGGTTTCATTGAAGTAAAAATCTTTTAAAGTGTACTATAACTAGAAATAGAGCACATATTCTTAAAATGAATTTCAGTTATTATGGGGAAATACATATACCTTAGGGATAGTATAAAAGGACTTCTTTTTCATTGTTTTCTATGCCCTAATAGGAGCTGCCCATACCTTCAATACATATATGAAGATGAGGCCATAAAGGATCTTAGGGAACTACTGAGAATTGGGTGAGCCAAGAAGAAAGGAATGTGCTTTCACCCAGATTTTTTTAAGTTGATCAAGGGTGCCAAAGTTGACTGGACAATTTCATTGGCTAGGAAGATAGGAAATCCCCATGTGGCAACTCACCAGGAAAAAAAGGCACTTTTTATTGGGGCAATTGAAGGCTAGCCCCAACTGCACAGAAGATGAGAATGTTTTAGATGATAAAGGGCTATATTCAAAAATGACACTGTGAACCATAAACAAAAGCAATAGAGTCACTGAACTGACCAGACTCACTAGCTCTCTCAATGCTGTTAGTCTTTACTTGGTCAAAGAAGTTTATGACTTGCTCAGATTACCTGGGATACTTAGGAAATGTGAGGTGACTAGAGAGGGTTGGGTATGGGGACTTGCTCCCAATAATGGCAGGCAAGTACTGGAAAGATTATGTGAAAGTATGAGAGACTGTATCTATGACTTGAAGTGGTAAAATGAATTGTAACAGAACTTATGTATTTAAAACATTATAAATCCATATAGGGTAGAAATGGTTTCATTTAATGAAATTAATATTGCTAAAATATTAGGGGGAGAAAAGTCAGGTTTATTCATTTCAAAGTTAGGCAAAGTTTTAAGACTTTTTGAATTATGAATTGTGAATGACAGTATTTCTGCAGTCATGGAGAGAGGGATTCCTGTGTAACCTCAGATACCTGTAGAATAATGAACAAAAATTTAAATACATATACTTAATTATAAAAGATACATTAGACATAAACTTTTCACAACATTCAACTATACAAAGCAAAACTACTGAAATCAAGAAGATTTTAATGAACTGACATTGGAGTAATAGATTCAGACAGATCACAGTAACAACTGCAATGCAACTGTGATATAAATGTAATATAGTAACAGCATATACAGAAATTGGAGACGTATAAAAAGGTAGAAGAGGTAGAGAAAAAGTACAAATACTATAAATGAAGGGGTAATTATTTTTAGTTTATCAATTATTTACTTAGAAAACAATGTACAGCAATATCTGAACAACTTCAGATATGACCACAGAAGTTCAGTAAAAGAAGCAAGTACCAGGTAATACATAAATATATTCCTTTTATAGAATCACAGATAATTTTAAAGAATAGTGGGAAGAAATCTCATTCACAATAATGATGCGGCTAAAATAAACTTTAATTACTGGAAAAAATGCCATTCTTGCAAGGAGAAAACTCAATTATATGCTTTTTTCCCCTCAAAACTGTGAAAAATAATCTCAAGTTCATTTAGAAAACTAAATGTATAAGACTTGCCAAGAATTTTTGTAATATATGTTTAATGAGAGAAAACTTGTCATACCAATTACCAAAAAAGTATGGTAAGACTGCGATGAGAAAAAAAGAAAAGAACTAGAAATATAAATATACATGCTGGCAAGCTTACCCCAAAGCCAGTAATCCAAGCTCACAAACTAGATGTCGCAATGTTTTTTTCTGACCTAATCTTGAAACTCACACACTATCACATCCATAATAACCATAGTCACCTATCAGTCTTATTTGATGTAGGAGGGAACTATTCAAGGCACGAATGCTTGAGATGAGAAACAACAGGGACCATTTTTGAGGATAGTTACCACAAAATTCTAGTAAGAATCTTCTTCAAACTGTCTTAAGAACACATGAAAAGCAATCTAAAATTTTGTATACATGATAAAACAAAATGTGATAGATAAATTGAAATATTGACAACAAATATAGGGAAACAGTACTTACTTGGACAGAAATTTATGGAAACATTACACTCTTCATATGGTCCCAGAATCCCATTCACTAGGCTGAATTTGAATGTGCCGTCTTTGAAAACTTTATCATAATTGTTAATATCTAAAACCCATTTCACATTCTTTTTTGAAGTATTATGTATGACAAGATTCTGTTTGTAGTCAAAAAAAGAGTTTATAAAAATAATGTAATATAAAACTCATTTTGTACTACAAAAGCTACCTGATGGGCCTATGTGCATTATCAAGTAATTAACAATGGTAATTACACAAAAAATATTTTTAAAATGTCATTAAGTAAACAAATGTGTATACAAATAGTTTCATAGCCTATTAATGACTGTAAAAAGTAAACAAAAATAGAGACAGATTAAATAAAAATATCAAAATAGTTATGCTAGCTAGCAAGGATGGAGAGTAACAAGAACCTTCACTCATTGATGGTAAGAAAGCAAAGCATAGAGAAGTCACTTTGGAACACAGTTTGGCAGTTTTTTATGTTAAACATACACCTATCATATGACATAGTATACCACCCCTAAGTATTTAAGTGAATTGAAAATTTATATTCACACAAAAATCTATGTGAATGTTTATAATAGCTTTGTTCTTTTTTTTTTTTAAGATTTATTTATTTAACCACTGGGTACAGTCAGAAGCGTGGGAGGGTGAGAGAATTCGCCAGAGCGGGGAACAGAACAGGCAGACTGATGAAACACACTGCTGAGGGGAGCAGCAGGAGTGGCAGGAGAGGTCTGTCATGCCATGTGGGACCCTCCCCGGTGGCCGGGGATCGAACCGGTGCTGCAAAGGCTGCGGGCAGCTTCGCAGCCCAGAGCTCAACCGCTGTGCCACCAGGGGAGGCCCAACAGCTTTGTTCTCAATGACCAAACAGTGGAAGAAGAAATAAGCAAGGTTTCCTTCAGCTAAAGAAGGGATAAACTGTGGTATAGCTAGAAAATGGAATAAAGTCAATGGTAAAATAAGTGAAGTATTAATTCATATAAAACATAAATGAATATTAAATATATTTTGTTAAGTGAAAGATTTAAGGACAAAATTGCTACATATTATATAATGAAATTACCAATCTTTCTGGAAATGCAAAATTGTGTGGATGAAAAACAATTAGTGGCTGTTAAATGTTTGTGAAAGAATAGTGAGCTACACGTGAGTTAATGCAGAGAATTTATAGTATGATGCAACCATTCTGTATGGTAATGAAGTGGTAGGTAAATAACTCTAATATACACCTTTCAAAACCCATATAGTACAAAAAGTCAACTTCAATCCAGGTAAATTAAAAACAATCAAACAATTTCTTCTTTGATCTCCTCGAGGATCCAAATAAGGGATCGGGGAAAAATTTAATTTTAATAAAGTAAAAATCAAAATCAACAGGCAACTATAAACCAGAGACATTCTGCAAGGGGGGAGAAGGAAGTAGGATCAACACAGGGGTGGGAAGAGCACAAGGGACCATGGTGATAGTTCATGGGTGAATGGGTGGTGGGAATTTCACAGGGACTATAACCAAGATAAAAATGCATACATTGTATAAAAATGAAAAATGATGTAAAAATATATAAAATTTAAAAAAAAACAAGATATTGAGGATCTTAGGATACTGTGTTCTATAACAAGGTATTATTGGACAAAAAGACCTCACTGAAGTTAGTGGGGGTTGGGGGCAATGGCCTAAGTAACTCTGGAAAGCTGTGTTTTGACTGGAAACAATAAAGCTGAAGACAAAAAAGTTCCTCTTTGCAAACAGAGTATCTACCTGGTAAATGTATTAGCAATTCTAACAGCCTCTGAAGTTCAAAAAGATGAGGAATTAGCCCATTTGCTCTAAGTCCACTTCTCTCTCAACTTTCTAATTCTGCATATTTATATTTTAATTCTTCCATTACTCACTGATAGGTTTAATCAATATATTTATAACTCCAGTTCCTTTTCTTTCAATTTTAGATAATTCCCTTTAACTAACCACTACGTAAAATTATCGTTACTCCTTTCTTTCACCATTCCCAACCTTCAGTCAACTTTCACAAATTCATTGTACACGTCATACATATCATTTTACATATATTTATCACATTTTAATTCTGCTCCATAAATACATTAACTTCTCTATAGTATACATTTTATTATGATTGTAAATATCACTCATGGAAAATCCAAGTAGTGTACTAGGACACCTTTTTTTCTCTGTTGAGCCCAATCTTTTACCACTCAAGAGAGAGGGCTCTCGTTGTCGTTAATCACATCAATTTAATAAAATTTCAATGATATAAGTAATCTTGCTTTTATAAGGGGATTGCTTGTCTCTGCAATCCAATAAAATTCAGTTCACTAAAGTTTTTTCTAGCCCCACATACAAGGGTTATTGCATCCTTGACATTATATTCAAAGTTAGAAAATTTAGCTGATTTTTTATACTTGAAGCAGTCACATTTTGATTTCATAAGCAATCCTTTATTGCCCTATAATTATAATTTCATACAGTGTTTTGCTATTATTTTATGGATGAAATGTTAAATATTTTATCAACATAATTTTTCTTCAAAGTTACAGAAGCTCAAAATTAATTGGCGGAAAATCAATATACACATGACAAAAAAGAAGCACACACTACAAAGACAAATTTCTATAGTTACGTATGAATTTCATTTTTGTGGACATCTTTTTACTTTCAAGGTGGAGTCATAAGTAGAATGGAGGCAGGATATCAAGTAAGAAAAAAACAGTAAATTATCATATAAATCATTTTATTATACATCTGAACAGTTTACAGGTTTATTATTGCCTCTCACCACATTTCCTTAGCTATATGGAACATATTTCACATCAATTTTAATCACTGCTTCCATTTGTATTAAGAGAGAATGATAATTTAATTTTATTTTAAATGTTTCAAATAGTCCTATTAAATCTATGCATATACAAAATAAACGTCTTTCTATATGCTTGCATACTAGAACAATTACTTCTAAGAAATATATGTGTAGACATAAATATTGAAATTCTCTAAAAAAATGAAAGAACTCTAAAAAAGTACTCTAAAAAAATGAAAAATATGCTTCAAGTCAATAAGCTAAAAACCATAATCAGAAAAACAGTTGTAAACTACATCATTTCTCTATACATACCTGAGTATTTGGCACCTTGTTTTCAGGATCCATACAATGTAATGGGATTTCAAATATAAATTCAATGCAGGATAATTTCAATGGTGATTGTAATACTACCAAAGGAAAGTAAATCTACTGGTAAAAGTATTAATACATATAAGCTTACAGATAATTCTATACTTTTCAACATGAAAGAACAAAAAAAATTTTTTTTTCTATCCCGACTCACAACTAAATTATACTTTAAAACATTTCTGCACTATCTGGGTTTATCACATTGAGAAAGTTCCAAAACCCTTGAGATGAAAAATACTAAATATTGATCTGAGAAAAAAAGGAAACAAAGTTGAAATGATGTCCAAATCAGACTTTCACCAATGCAGAAGTACAAACATAAAAAGAAATAGAGAAGGGAAAAACATGGGAATAAAGGTAAAATATATAGAGAGCACATCATCTAATATTTCCTATGAACCAAGAAAGGGAAAATGACTATTATATGGAATATTAGGAATGGCAGTGTCTATAAAATACATTAGAGAAGACATTATTACCTGCTGGAAAATGCTATATATTTTAACAGATTTGTTTTGCAGAACAATTTTAGATACAAAAATTGAGCAAAAGGTATAGAGATTTTCATATACCCCTGCCCCATTCAGAATAGCCTTCTCCATAATCAACATTCTCCACCACTGTAGTAGGATAAAGGTACAATGACACGTCATTATAACCCAGAGTCCACTGTATATAATAAGGATTGCTTGTGGTGGTATATGTTCCATAGGTTTGAACAAAAGTATAATGATACGTAGCCATCATTATAGCATCACACCAAGGATAGTCACTATACCAAATATATATGAATATCCCACAGATAATTGAAATTTTTAATATATTTTCATCCTTTACATGTATTTAGTCTTTTAGTAACTCATCTATTTGGGGGAAAATTCTTAATATATTTCATTGTTTCATTTTATATACAATGAATTTCAATAATTTATATTTTGATTTTATCATTTTAAAACTGCCTACACAATGAATAAAGTGACCTGTTTTTAATTATATATAGTTTAGTAACAGTCACTCATCTGAATTTATATCTATGCTACTTATGAAAATTCAATCTCACAGACTCACAATTTAGATATACAAAAATCCTCTCATATTATTACTATCTAATATTTCTCTTCAAAAAATAAATATCCCAATGTGATTCTTTAAACTTTTAGCTGCTTAAGTATAAATCTTTGGACTATGCACATGGATTGAAAGTTTCACATTACATACCAGTAGCTTGAACATCACATGGACGAATAAGTGGTGTTGTCTTTGGAGTCAAAGTTCTCTTTGACAGACAACGTTCAGTGTAAAGTTCTGAAGCCTTGTAGAAATTAATTTCAACTTGAAAGGTAAATTGATATGTTGCCACCTGACAGACAAAAAATATATTATACCTGTGACTTATTTTCACTGTAAGAAATCTGTGACACTAGTTTTATATATATATTTAAAATATAGAACTTGATGATTTGATATATATATAAATAATGAAACAATATACTTAACATACATCACACCACAGTTACCTTTTGAGTGTGTAGTATGTGTGTTGAAAACACAACCTACCCTCATAGTAATTTTCAAGCATAAAGTACAGTATTGTTACCAAGTTCATATTACCCTGCAATTTCACTTACAGGTATTTATACAAAGGAACTGAAATTAGGATCTCATTGCAACATTATTCTTAATACACAAGATATGGACACAATCTAAATACCCATCCATAGATGAATGAATAAACAAAGTGGTATATACATACAATGGTATTATTATACAGGTTTTAAAAATAAAAGGAAATCCTGTTATTTGCTGTAACATGGATGAACCTAGAAGACATAATGGTAAGTGAAATAAACTAGACACAGAAAGACAAATATTGCATGATCTCACTTATTTGTGGACTCTAAGATAGCTAAACTCGCAGAAGGAACGAATGGAATAATGGTAACCAAGGGCTGGAAGGAGGGAGATAAGAGAGACATTCCTTTGTTTAAGGGGTAGAAAGTAAGTTATACAAGATAAGTAAGTTCTGCAGAACTGATTAGATACTATTAATTTAGCAAAACAGTAATTTTAAAAAGTTCCAGAAAAAAAATTACCTTGTGAAATGGAAAGTACTTTTTTTTCCCCCAAAGTAAGGCCCGGTTTATTTTTTATGAGTCTGAAAATAAATTTTGGCTTAAGCAAAACTGACATCACCCAGTGCTGATAAAGATATGACACCTAATACACTTAATAGATTGCTGATAGGAACGTTTTTTTTTTTTTTTTAGTGTATACAGCCATTCCTTTTTTAAAAAAAGATTAATTTTTTTTATTTATGCATACAAGAACTGGGGTCCAGGCCAGAGGTACAGGAGGTGAGAGGATTACCAGAGACAGAGTAGAGGACAGTGATGGAAATACACTGCTGAGGGGAGCAGCAGGCGAGACAGGAGAGGTCTGCTGCGCCATGTGGGATAGATCCCTGGCTGGGGATCGAACTCATACTGCAGTGGCTGCTGATAGCTTGACAGTGCTCACTTAACCCCTGTGCCACCAGGGAGGCACCCAGGAATACAAACTTTTAACAGTGATTTTGGAAAGTTTTCAGGTTTCTTAGAAAATTAAGTGTATATGTAATCTAAGACCAGCAATTCTCAGCCCGAGGTGATTGCCAAAAAGAAATGAAAACTCAGTCATACAAAAACCTGCATGCAAACATTTACAGTGGCCTGATTCATAAATGTCAAAACCGGAAAATAACCCAAATTCCCTCCAAATAGGGTTCACTTACAGCAGGAATATAGGGAAACCAAATATAACATCAGTGTAAAGAAACAGTAACAGTACAAAACACAACAAAGCAAAAACAGACAATTATAAACCAGAGACATCCTGCAGGGAAGGAGGAGGGAGAGGGATCAGAGGGAGGGAGGGAGGAGCACAGGGGACTGAGGTGATGGTGCACGAGTGCCTTGGGGAAGGAAACTCTATGGGGACTACAGCTGAAGGGGTGGGGGAAGCAAATATTGCTGAAAATGAACAACGATGTAAAAAAAATTAAAAATATAAAAAGAAAAGAAAAAAATATTCCAAATAAAGCTTTGCTTTAAAAAAAAAAAAATAGGGACTGTTTGACACATTTTGGTAAAGCCATACAATTCTGTACTTTTCAACAAGAAAATCAAATGAACCTCTGTTATACATAATGACATAGGTGAAATTCAAATGCATTATTCTAAGTGTGAGAAATCAGACTGAAAAGCCAACATGCCATATATATAAATAAAAAGGCAAAATTATAAACAAAATGAGATCAGAGAGACTGACTGCAAATAGGCATAAGAAATATTTAAAGGAGATGATACAATAGTTCTCTGTATGGATTTTTGTATTTGGTATACAAATGTATGGTTTGCCAGTACTTATATAACAGAGAATTTTCTGTATCCTAATTTTAAAAATAGATTAAATGAAAAGAAATTACAGCTAATTCCTAGGTGCTGATTTTTATATGACTGGCTTCAAAATCTAAATGAGAATAATTATATAGGGAGCTGGTGTGACGAGTCACAGAACAACAAATGCTTAATGCTTCCTAACATCTTGGCAACTATACAGTACTAGTCCAGTTAATAAATGGGTAACAGATTTGAACAGACAATTTACCAAAAAGGATATCCAGGACAAAAGACATGAAAAATGGTTCACCATGGTCACTTCTAATAAGAGAAATGCAGATTAAAAACTACAATGATACAACCTCACACCCTTGAGAATAGCATGTATTAAAAAGATCCCAGCAACAAGTGTTGGAGAGGATGTGGAGAAAAAGTAACCCTATTACACTGTTGGTGGTTGGTGGGGATGTGAACTAGGGTAAACATTAAGGGAATCAATCTAGATTCACATTAAAACACTAAAAACTGAATTACTGTATAACCCAACAATCCTAAACTTGGGCAACAGAGCCACAGAACACAAAACCATAAACAAAAAAACCCTTTATGTTCCACAATGTTCATAGCAGCATTATTTACAATAGCTAAGACATGGAAGCAGCCTAAATGTCCACTGACGGATGACTAGATCAAGATGATGTGGTACACACACACACACACACACACACACACACGCGCACGCGCGCGCTGGAACATTATATAACCACAAAAAAGAATGAAATGCAGACATTTTCAATAAAACAGAGGGAACATAAATACATGTAGGCTAGAATGATGCAAACAAATAGTGGACATTTACAAAACAATTTGATAACATCAAACGCATTCAGAAACTAGTGGACATTCGCTAACATCCTGAGGTCTGTGAGGTGAAGAGGAAGAGGAGAGGGAAAGGGACATGGGGATAGTTGGATGGTGGGAGGGAAAAAATAAAAAAAAAAAAACTAATTTTGAAAGGCCAAGAAAGATAACAAAAATACATCCTCGTTTTGCAAAAAATAAATAATTGATTCTAAGGTGTTTATTTCCTTTTGATCCAATTGTAAAGCAGGTCATGTTCTTGATTTTTCTTTCTCTTAGTTCATCATTTGGTACAGAAGCACAAGGGATCTTTTTATGTTATTTTTGTAGCTTGCCAGTGAGAAATAAATTTCTGTTGTTTATAAACTACCCAGTCTGTGCTATTTTATTATAGCAGACTGAGCAGACAAAGACACTGACCACACCACTGCCAATTCTATCTTCTGCCATATAATCTTTTGTAAATAGTCTGTTCTCATAATGGAATTATAGCAGCATAAAAATACTAGAGCACATTTTATTTTCATGGATGTTTCATTTATTTTGACAAATCAGTACAAGCAACACATTCCTATGACAAACTATTTCTGCAATGATACCAGCACACAGATGTCAAGGAGTAAATTGAATAAAGATGTATTTCATGTACAACTACTACTTGCTTTCATGGTTCAGTCTTTCAAAAACAAACAAAAAAAACTTTGCTTGTTACTATTTTTCCTGCAATTTATCATTATTTAATCATCAACAATTAGTTATATTTTGTCTCGTTGGATTTTTCCTTTTTGAGTTTGTCTGCTTTTTTTTTTTCTTATTTTGTGTGTTAAAATATATCAAGACTTTTGATCATATATGTTTTAACAGCATAGATACTATTTTAGCTATTTCAGCTTTAAGGTTTTTTTCCATATAATGTGGACTCATTTTAACATCAAATAATATGCAGTAATATATTTCCAAAATGGTCAACATCATTTACCTGTAATGGATGGAGAAGGGTTCCTGATGGAAGACAATGGGAGGAAAGGAAGAGGAGGTAAATGGAAACATGAAGACAAAGAATTAGAGGCCGGAGTTCTAGATGGGTCTCCATATGGATACTGACATCATTCAGAAAATGAGCGGAGTAGGGTGCAAAATATAAAATGAGTCTGACTGGTGCCAATGTACAGAGACTACTATTTTGACAAGAAAAAGAGTGACAAATTCACATTACAGAAGGTTCAAAGAAACAGGCATTTTTAACAGGTAAGGAGCATGTAGAAAAAAACCAGCCTAGGGAACAAGGCTTCCAGAAAGCACCTCCAAAGTAACTCCCGAATCATGGGGAGGGCTACATAAGAAGCAGCACCCTATAAATAGCCGTGTTGATGATAGGAAGAAACCATCAAGGGAACAGAAGCTCTAAAAAAATTTGAGGATTGATGTAAGTAGTGGGATCCTAGAAGTAAGAGGAAAAGGGGAAGAATGTCAGTGGGAAGCAACACAAAGCTGCCATGAATGCGGATCTGTTCACAGGGGGCTCCACTTTAGGGGATAAGTAAGGTAAAGAAATGATCATGATGGATTAAATCCTGGTTATCATTGAGTACTGAGTCTTAACTAACATTGAGTCAAGTGCTGGGTCCCAAAGACAAAGCTGATAGGAGAGGTGTGGTGGGAGAGGTTTAACACAAATAATTACGGTGTTTTCATTTTAAATTTTCTGTTGATGAGGATGTTGGCAAATATATCAAGATAACTCAATATACTGATCTAATTAAGTTTTTATATATTTAAATTTGAAGCATTCCTCCTCCTGCAAAATATGTGTTTGTAAAAGACTGTGTGCTCAAGTGACAGACCTGAGGACAATTCTGCCTTCTCTGTTGCCCCTTGTATACACACGGGAGGTCATACTGGACTTGCCTCCTCTTAGCACATATCTTCAGAGATGATTTACATAAAATGCATTTTCCTCAGGGTAGCCCTGTTATTACCCAGAATGCAAAACAGAGAAATTCCATGATTTCTTCATCCACGGAAGCTTATGTGCTCAACAAAACTGTAAGAATACAAGGTATCTTTACACAGAAACTCAGAGACACACAGAGAGATATGATCACTGTGAAATCACTAATGAAGAAGGAAATGTCAAAAGTTCTGTGATGTGTCATTCTGAGTACTTTCCCAGATATTGTCATGCAAACAGAGGAATGGTCATGTTGCAAAAAGATACTCTGTTGAAGAAACAATTTGCCTCTAAGCCAGTGTTGGTTGACAAAAAGGTTTAAGAATAGAAAAGGGGCAGGTGTAATTCAATGTTTTTTGGAACCCTTGAAGGATTTTTCTTAGTGTCCTGTAACAAAGACTGTAAATTTTAGATAGCCATTGTGAAATGTTTACCCAAAGGTTGCATGTCCTTAAAGAGCACACAAAGGTTAGTGGAAAAATGAAAAAAAGCGAAAAATTTTCTCTTATTGGGAAGAGCCTTAGGGCAAACAGAAAACAGAAGATATGAGAAATGCATAACAACTGAGCCACTATAGAGTTACCCGCCTGTGCTACAGGGGAGAACTTGGGCGACAGCAACAGAAGAAGTGAAAAATGAAAATTGTGAAAGATCTATACCAGCACTGTCAAATACACCCTTCTGTGATGATGGAATATTCTGCACTATCAATCAATAGCCATATACAGATACTGAAAACATGAAATGAGGTTATTTTAACTGAGGAAATAAAAATGTTTTAATTTTATTTAATATAGGTTTATTTTCATAATATTTTTTTTTATTTATTTATGCATAGAAGAACTGGCATGTAGGCCAGAGGTGTCAGGGGTGACAGCATTCAGCAGAGACAGAGTGGGGAGCAGAACAGGCAGCTCTACTGACATACACTGCTGAGAGGAGCAGTGGCTGAGACAGGAGAGGTCTGCTGCACCATGGGGGTTAGCTTCCTGGTCAGGGATCAAACACAGACCATAGTGGCAATAGCTCAATAGCCCTGAGACTTAGCCCCTGTGCCACCATGGAGGCCTTTAATTAATATAGGTTTAAACTGGGCCTCCCAGGTGGCGCAGAGGTAGAACGCTGGGCTGTGAAGCTGCCCGTAGCCTCTGCAGCACCCGTTCAATCCCCGGCCACCAGGCGAGGGTCCCACATGGCAGGCAGACCTCTCCTGCCGCCCGCTGCTCCCCTCAGCAGTGTACTTCGTCTGTCTGCCTGTTCTGCTCCATGCTCTGGTGAATTCTCTCACCCTCCCGCGCTTCTGACTGTACCCAGTGCTTGTATAAATAAATAAATAAATCATTTATATATATATATATATATATATATGTATGTATGTATGTATGGCTAGTGGCTACCATATAAAGAAGCACAACTCTATTATCATGGCCCTGAAAACATGTGTCTTCACAAGGAAAGGAAGGACTTCAATACTTATTATAAACAAACCAGTCCAGCCAAGGATGGCAAACACAATTGTAATTGTGCACTAGCACTTTTGATTATACCCAAACATGGTACAGTGGAAGAAAAGGAAGGGTTACAACTAGTAATTAAGCCTTGAACCTTTTTGTTGATTTCACATTTTCTACTACACAGTTCAATGAAGAAAGCATGTTGCCTATTTAATATACAAACATAAAAACACAAAGAGAGACAACTGACGGGAGCTATTAATACAATGAAGGACATTTGAAATGACTAGAAACCAAATAATCAACCTCACTGGCACAAATCTATGAAACAAAAATCTCACAGGGTACACATGATCTACAGGGTTTTTTATGTTCTTCTCATTGTTGGACTGAATTACACTCCAACACACTAAGTAAATCTCCCTTTAAAACACCCGGTAAATATAGAAAATGAGTCAAAATCTTAAGTACTATATAGCACTACAGAGAGCTATAAATGTACAGGATTTTTCAAATTTTATAATGAACTTTTAGGATCCTAGAAGAACCACCATCTAGACATTACGAAACAGATTTACAAATGGGATGACATCAAACTAAAATAAACCAGCACAATAAAAAACTCTCAATAAAGTGAAAATACATCCTAAAAGAATGGAAGAAAATATGTGCACATCATACATCCAATAAGGGGCTAATATAGATTTACAAAGAACTCAAAATATCAAAAAAAAAAGAAAATAATCCAATTAGAACAGGGGCAGAAGAACAAAGCAGATACTTCTCCAAAGAAGACATAGAGATGGCCAACAAAATGGATTATTAAAGAGTACTTAGCATCCAATACCCTTTTTTTATTGCATCACTCATTAGTTCATTCCATTCTACACCTACTGAGTATGAAGCATCATGCTAGTTAGGCTGGAATATAAAAAATGTTCTTACATAAGAGTCCTATATTTCAGTTATGATATAGAAGTTTGACTCTTGTTTGGGAGGAAGGGACAACATGCCTTTTCATCCTGTAAGCAGAGAAGTTCTCTCCTTGGCATATCTATAGCAGAACATCTGAAGCAAAATCATATTAGATTGCGCCTGAAATTTTGTCATCAGTACCCCTCCTCTTAGGCACATCCCAGGAAGGGTGTTTTGTTTGATTTTGTACTTTTTCTAAGTGTTTTTAAATCACTAAACATCAAAGGACACTATAAAAATAATCAGTGTCATAGCAAGCCCTCTTAAATCTTCACAGCACATCTTTGGCTATTTCAAGCACTGATTTCAAGAGCATTAAGCATATCCCACTCAAATATAAAGACAAAGCACAACCTGGCTCAAATATAAGTGACTGTGGAGTTAGCCCACACTTTTCTCTCCTTCATAACATGTCACATCTTGAATTTCACATCTGAGACCACAAGACCGCAGGTGTGCTCTCTGCCCCCCTTGAGCCACTCTGCAAGCATCAGCAGACCCCTCCAGCATTCACTTTACTGACTTGAAGAGTGTGCTCAGACATGCTCACAAGATAGAACAACCATCACAAAAAGGTTATCCTTGATAGTTTCCTGGGTAGTATTATCTGTAATTCCACCACTCGTCAGTAATATGAATAATAAATAGAAAGCTGAACTTACTTCTTCAGGAGAAAATGCTATGCCACATTCCACAGATGCATTTTCCTCTAACTCAAAAAAATATATTTTAGGAAATTCAGGGTCTGAGTATTGCACTGTAAAGACAAAACAAAACATACACATATTAAAAAAAAGTCAGACATACAACAATCATATTGTTAAATGTGGAAACAAAACTTTGAGAAACCTGATTGATATGTTTATAACAATCAAAAAGCAGTTAGTAAAATATCTGTAGGGATGTATAAGGTTACTGGATTAAAAAAATCACTGTTAATCTCAATATTACCACAATAAAAAGTAGTATAAAAATAAAATATTTAAAAATGGTCCTTCACTTATAGTATTTCTTTAACATTAGAACTTAAGACAATTTAAAACTATTTTTACTTTTATAATAACATCATTATAGTATATAATATAAACCTGATTTGTCTTTAAACTCCATTGAAAAACATGGAAATTCTTCTAGATTAAATTCCACTCTGGCACGAGTTAAACCTTTGTTTTTTACTAAAAATGGAATAATCTCAGTGGTGCCCACATAGGTGCCAGTGAAGTTAAAGACATCCTAAAATTAAAAAAAAAAGAATAATTAGAAAGTACAGTGATAGTTAATGAAAATAATGTAAACTATTATACCACTATGTTTATCAAGGCCAATGTTAACGGTAATGTTTGTAAAAATTACCAGTTCTCTTCTCTCCTACTCCCCATGTGCAATCAGTTACCAAATCCCATTATTCTTAACCTCTTAGTCTTACTGTAATGATATGAACTTAACAACACATCACTTAGCATTTCACTTCTAGATTGACTTTATTCAATTCTCCATGCCACAACTAAGTCACAATTTAACTAGACGAAAATCTACTCCTATCACATCCCTTCCTCAAATTTGGTGATTCTCCTCCATCTACAGGACAAAGTCCAAGTCTGTTACAGGTGCATAACAATCACCATGACCTTTCCCTGCCTCATCTCATTCCACTCTCACCCTATCATATCACTTCATATTTCAGCAAGCTGCATGACTTGTCATTTACAATCAACACCTGACACTTCACCCAGAAGGGTGTTTATCAAGGTGTCCCATCTGTCAAGAAGGGTCTTCTCTTGTAATTGTCTGATAAATAATATGTGTACTTCACATCCCAGTTAGATAACCACAGTTACCAGCATTGTGTTGAGGACTGCTTTCTTTCCTTCCTTGTATTTACTTACATTACGATATCACAATGTTCATTTATTTGTTTAAACATTTATTTTTCTTAGTGAACATTAAGCCTGATTTATATTTGCATTCCTAGCACCTATTTGACACCTATTTTATTATTTTCATTTTTTTAATTTTATTTTATATATTTTTTACATTTTTCATTTTTGCAAATGTATTTTACATATTTTTACATTTTTCATTTTCATTTTTCAAAATGCACATTTTGCATTTTCATCTTGGTCATAGTCCCCATAGAGTTCCCAACCACCTTATTTTGACCCTAAACCCGCCTTCCCCGTCCCCACCCCAGTAGTGTGTCTCTGGTTTATAGTTGTTTTGATTTTTGTTTTAAGTTGCTTTTGATTTTTATAGTTGATTTTGATTTTTACTTTATTATAATTAGTCTTTTTCCTGGTCCCTTATTTAGGTTTTCTAAATTCCTGCTATGAGTGAGACCATCTGGTATTTTTCTTTTTCTTTCTGGCTTATTTCGCTGAGCATGATCCCCTATTTGACAACTACTTTAAATATATTAGGGATTTGTAATGACTGTGTCTTAACTTTATCTTACATACCAAGTATTTGCTTATTCCACAAAACTATTGAATTCTGCCTTCTGGAGGAGAGACTATGTATCTATATCTCCATCCTATAGCGCCTTTGTAAAAGAATTACATACAACATTAAAAGGAGACAGGAACCAGCATCTTAATGTTGAAGAAAAATACTTCATTAAGATCAAGTGGTCACTATTTGCGTCACTTAAAATAGCAACACATTTCTACTTGTGAATGTTGTAAAATCCAAAATGGGTAAAGAAAATTTGATGCTTTCTTTACGTAAAAAACAAACAAAAAACAAAACACTCCTGTTAGCCAATGCTGGCTTTGCCCATATGCTCATTTGGATAAAATTTCCTAATCATTATTAAGACACATAGTCAATGCTATACAATTACTAAATGTATTGCTGACAATATCTGGTGATACTAGGGTATTATTTTTTTTAAAGGTAGCTAGGAACTGTTTTTAACACTCAATATAATTAGGAAATACTGACAAATATATGTTAACGACAAGTTCTCTGAATGATTCAATTATACCATAACATATAAAGCATGCCAAAAATGTTATTAGGATGAGGAAATAATCAAAGCTCGATACCTGTCTAATATTGTTCACCTAAGGACACCATAACAATGGGAAAAAAAAAACAAAAACAACAACTCTAGATACTGTATGGCTTAATCTCCAAAAATCACGATAGTCCTAGACAAGCTAGTTTAGAATCTGTCACTCCATTCAGACTCACCATGCCTTGAACACCAAGTAAAGACTAGAGAATTATAACTTAAAGGCAGACCCTAGAAGTGTGGTTATGTCATTAAAGTGCAGACTAGAGGGCAGCCTCACCTGAGGCAACAAGCTGCCTCATTGTTTTCCTCTTAATTTAGTACAACTCCAGAGTGATGCTAGGTGCTGTGGTACTAGTGGGTGAGGAAAACAAAGTGAAAATAATGTGACAAATGCTAGGATGGAGAGTTTAAGATGTTCATAATAGCAGATAAATATCACAGTGGAGGGGCAGAGGGATCTGCTTCATAGGATCAGAGTACCTTTGGGCAATTCCAGAATGACCAGGAAAAAAAAAATATTGCGTGAACACACACATACACTATCAATTTTATAACAAAATTTTATCAGAGTAAAGAACAATGTGTTCAAAAAATAAATATGACTACAGTTCATAAAATGCAAATCAAGATTATAGGGAGATGCTATTTTATATTGAATAGGCTGGCAAACATTAACTTACAACTTATGGAGCAATGGAAACTTGAGAAGAAAATATGGACAGTGTCTTGTGTAGTCAAACAAGCACATATCCCGTGTTTAAACAACTCCACTCCTACAGGAATTCTGACATACGTACCTCAGAAAATGTGTCTATTAATGTTCACAGCTATAGTGTTTATAGTAACAAAACCCCCAAAACACCCAATTTGATGGCCAATGAAATGAGTCTATAAGTTATAGTACGTCTTCACAGTAGACTATTGAGCAGAAATGACAATCAATAAAACACAGCTACAAGCAACTTAGATGAACTTTGGAAACATAATATTTAATTGAAAGTCACTTACCAAAGACTACAAATAGTACATCTTTATGACAAAATTCAAAATGAGCAAATTAAAATAAGTAATGATAAAGTAATTCATATATATGTGGTAACCCCATTCAAAAAATTTAGGGGTAATATTCACAAAATTCAGGAGGGGTGTGGTCATGATGAAGTCTAGTGATGATATTGTTATTGGTAATGTAATGATACTTAAATTCAGTGATAAATTGTTATACCTTCCTTTACTATTCATTCTGCTTCATTATGTATAGTTATATTCTATATATTAATTTCTATATGTCAAATTTCTACATAATAAAATATTTTTGAACATAAATGAGCTGACTAGAGAAACATGATAAATAAAAATAACCAAACTCATAATTATGCAAATAGATAACATACTCACCGGTTTGATTACAACATCAGCAATCTCAACAGATCCACCAATCCTAAGGTCAATGATATTTGCACGGTGAATAGAAACCTTATTTAGGAGAAATATAAAACTTTGTGGGAACCACATTAAAATATACTTATATATTGCTAATGCAATACCTGACATTTATGTTAACATTTTGTAATTTAAATAATCATAACATAAATGTCACAAGGTTTATTCCAGTAGTTGCCACATTTCTTATTATGCAGAATTTATATTCATAAGAGGAAAGAATGTTCAATTCTTTAAAACTCCACCATAGTGAGTCCAGCTGACAGCTTGTGAATTTGACCAAAGTTCTACCCATTTGACTAAACATTATTGCCACCCTCTGTAGTCCTTTTGTATTTACTCAATTTCAATTGATTATTCAGAATTAAAACAAACAGAAAACTGAGTGAAAACATAATCCTTCCATAGAAAGATACAATGAGCATAACAATGAGCTAAATAATGGCTGAGTTTAAGGGCCATGTATAGTGCTAAATACATTATCTCCTTTATTAATCCACAGTATTCTATGATGTCACTACTGTTACTATCCTAATTTCTTAATGAGGAAAATTGAGGCTTAGAGAGGCTAAGTATTTTGTCTTTTGTTTGAAATGACAAAACTTGACAGCAGCAATGGCTAAACTTGAATCAAACACTGACTTAACATTCAACTGCTTCCAAGAAAATTAAATAGCAAAATAAGAATTTAGCTATTTAATTCCTACAAAGTAAGAGCTATAGATTATCTGAACATACTATTGTCTAAAAAAAGTTTTAGAAGCACAAAAACAACATTCCCTTAAAGCCCTATCTGCAAAAGAATTAGAAGCAGTCAAGTTCTAGATTTAAACCTAAATGTGTATTACATTGAAGGGATATGAGAGTATTTCACCTTTTCCCACAGAATCAGTAAGATTATTTATAGGACAAAAGGACAAAATACCAGTTTTTCAGAATTATTGGGGAAAGTGAGGTACCATCTACTTATTCTTATTTACCAAACTACTGCAGTGATAATACTATATGATTTCTCTGTCTTATTTAAACAATGTATAGTACATAAGCAAAATGATACACTAAAAAGCACAATTTAACAATTTGGAAGAAATTACAAATCAACATGTTCTTCATTAATGAACCCCACATATCACAGCTCCACCTTTTATCTCTAGAGATGTAAACTATACTGTGGACCATATCAACTCTCAATCACCTCCGACATCATAGTCATGTCTCCCTCTCTCCTCCCTGCTTTCTCTCTCATATTCAGAGACAATAGTTCTGGATGTCACGTCACAGGGGCATCGATGTGTAATGTTCTTCTGATCAATCCCAATTCACCTTTGTCCATTTGCTTCTTATTCAACTTCTTCCAATTTTAATCATTATTCTTTCTCAAGTACCAATAATTCATTTCACATATACTTATTTTAGTGTTTATAGAATAACATAAATATTCTCTATCATCTGTAAGTTTAATCCATGGAATTCAGACCAGTATGTGTATGCCATGGCCTCTTTGGTAGACATCTCTATAAGGAGAGCCAAAAGGTGACTCAAACTCATAAAATGCCTCTAAAATCTGCTACTTAATCTCTGATCTCTTTCTCATGGAATGCAGCCATGTTACTCTTAACTCCTTTTATTTATATGTGATCCCTTCATAGTCACCAAGTCCTAAATATTTATCTCCTATATTTGACTAGAATTTATCCTACTTTCTGACCGAGAAAATCATCCTCTTACTTGGACATCTACATAAGACAACTAACATTGCACTCCTCCATCTTATTGGCCTCAGTTTACTGCTCTATAACCAAAGTGATCTCTGAAAACTGCAAATCTGATTGTGAAATCCCCATGCTTAAAAGTCCTAGCTCTTAAGTTGAAGTTTGGATTTGCTAACATTGTTTATAAGGAGCTATATGACCTAACACCTAGGTCTCTAAATAAATCCCCACTATCACCCATGTAATCTATAATCTAGTCGTGCTAAATTTTGATCATCCATGCAGTCTATGACAAAGGCATGCTAAACTTAGTTTTTCATATCTGTCTTGCAACTATTGCTCTCCCCCAATGCCTAAAAACATATGATATGTGCTTTCTTTAAATACTCTCTTCCTCTCCTCCTCCACTCCATTACCATCCCTTTCATATGGCTGATACTTAACTTCAAGTGTCTTTTAGATGCATCTTCCTCTAGGAAGCCTTCTCTGATACTTTAAGCCTGGATTGATGACTCCCTATGTGTCCTCCCTTTGCCTGCTGAATTTCTCCATCACAATATTACAGAATTGATTACATTATATTTTCATTTTCTTTTGAGTTACCTGTATCTTCCATCATATTGTAAAAACTTTGAGATCAAAATCCCTGATTATGCTGTATAATTTTGCATCTTTAATATCTACAACAGAGACTGAAACTTACTACTACACAGTAAATATGTGTTGAATTGATGAATAAACGACTCTCATTATAATGCAAAAAAGGTAGGTTTTATAGAAACAGCATAGTCCTCTAAAATATAGTGGAAATTAACCTTTTTGCAAAATCTGTATTTTCATGGCTATATTTTTAATTTTTTAAAAATACTGTGTAAAATAAATTTAAAATTTCAGACCATATACCTCAACTTATAATTAATAAATGTCTTAGTATGACTTTGTTAATAAAAATAATTAGGTTTTTTATTTGAAAGACCAACAAATCCATGTTTATTACTAAGCTATGTATTATTTAAGAATGGTCATGGGAAATTGATGGATAAAATGGGGGATTATAACTAAAGATATTCCTTTTGATCTGATGATAGTTATATACTCTCTAATGTGTATAAATGCACACAATTGATCTGACTGAAGACCAAGGGTATTCCATTCAAACAATATGGAGTTTCCTTAAAATATTAAAAATAGAGCTACCGTATGATCCAGGAACTCCACTACTAGGTATTTACCCAAATAATGTGAAAACACTAATGCAAAGGGATATATACTCTCCTGTGTTCACTGCAGCACTACTTACAATAGCCAAGTTATGGAAACAACTTAAGGGCCTTAATACAGATGAGTGGATCAGGAAAATGTGGCATATAAACACAATGGAATACTTCTCAACTATCAAAAAAAAAAAAGATGAACTCTTGCCATTTGTGACAATATGCATGGAATTTGAGGTGATTGTGTAAGTGAAATAAATCAGGAGAAAGACACATACTTGATGATTTCACAGAGAAACAAAACAAAGGAACTGACAAAACTAAAGGAAAAAAAGAACACAGAAATTTTACTGCTGAATTGAGGCTACTAGAGGAAGAGGAAGAATAGGGGTGGGAACAAAAGGGGGGCATTGGTCTAGGGTAAAGTACTATGAGTATTTTAGTGGTGTGTGTGGCAGGATGACATACATCTGAGAATGTGTGACCCTATACTCCTAAATCATATAGTGTTGTAAACCAATATTAAAAGTATCCCATTCCTTGAGTTTATGGTCAATACAATTTATTACAGATTGTACTTACATGTTTAATTTACTCTGCTTAACAAACATTACAGAAGTTCCTAAAATCAAAGTAATATCTGTTCATTTATATAATTCCTACACCATGAAATTGGTAAACATTTTATATGTTCTATAAAATACAGATGTTAAAATCATATTAGAATCTGTCTATAATTCATAGTCATGAAATCTATTTAAAATTAGAATTCAAAAATTGATCATTTTTCCCTAAGGTATATAATTAAATAAGGTAGCTAATTAACATCATTAAAAATACCCTTCTTTGCTTTGTGACTAGTAAGGACTTTCTGTAAGTTAGAGATGGCCAAATTTCATTACAATTCATATGAAACATGTCCCATATTGATTAATGGTATCCATTTCAACTTTGTTCCATTACCAACTTTCATCAAAAATATTTTCTACAAATCCTCCTGCCAAGTTCTGCTAACTATTTCTACAATAAATGATACAGGTAAGGTTGTTTTTACAGATCTCTGAAATCTGCATATCAATAACTAAAAAAAATATAGAAATTAAAAAAAAACTATTCCTTAGTATCATAACATTAAAAAGAATTCCCATTTGAAGAAATCATTAAATCACATTTTCTAAGAATGAACATATAGACATTTTATAGCATTATACCTACTATTATAAATATAACAAATAAACCCACATATAATTAAGGAGCAAACCCATATTTGTATAAACATACCTTTGCTCTTGTATCGAATTTTTCTGCCACAGTGGGTGTACAGGAGATATTAAGAACAGTTAATCCACCCCATGGAATAATTCCTTCTGATGGAACAATATTAATTGTAGGCATAAGACTCTGATCACAAACCTATAATTAAAAATTTGCAGAAATACTTCATTCTTATTTTAAGTTAGTGCTCAAAACTAGGAAAGTTTTTAATCCACTATCTAAAGAAAGGACTCCTAGGGACAGGGCATGAGATGACTCTGTAATAGATTTTCAAACACCAGACTCACAAATACTTATTGGACTTCAACAAGGATTTACACCACTAACCCGGAGAACAGAAATTTCAGTGGCACCTTTCAATTCAAATAGGATGATAAGATAAAGTTTTTATATGAAGTGTTTTCAAGACTTTGCAAGGATGAGATATATGTATCTCTCATATATATATATATAAATATATATACCTGTTAGAAAATATGCCAAAATTCTAGATACTACTTGGATAGTTTGCCTTTCCCCTGAATCTAAAAACTGAAAGCAAAGTGAGTGGGAAGGTAAAATGATGAACTAATTTCTTATTTTTTATTTTTATCCTGATAGCCTGAAGCCCGGGATATCATTTCGACTTTCCAAAGAGCTGTAAGTAACTTGCCAATGGATTCATGGTGTGTTTTGTCAGAAGCCAACTAAGGCTTCTCTATCATGCTTTAAGACACAATAATTTAAAGGGAAATTGGTTAAAATATCTTTGGGGATAAGGGAAAAATTCTGAAGCAAGAGAAAAATCTCATACGAGATATGTAAATATTAGCATTAGTCAATTTATAAAAACTAAAGTATCAATACTATAGAATTCATGGCAAAAAAAATCAAATTGTAATGTGATACATTCCAAAAACAATTTCAAGATTCTCGATTACCTTGAAATAAGCATGGTTTTGTCCTACATTATGAAGAATGGCTTTCCTCCAACTTGTTAAACCTTGAGGAATATTATTGAAAAGTATCCTTGGCTCCAAAAACGTGACCTTGGTGTGACCAAGCTAGTAAAAAGAGGAGGAAAGGGAAAATGTAATTGAAACAACAGTAGCATTTGTTTGTCCTTTACCAGGTAACTCAGACTTTTTCAGCTTCAATGCAATTTCTAAAATATGAAGTTTTATCAGCTTTTATAATATACTTAAGATAAAGGAAAATAGAATGGAATATTTTAAAAGAACTCCTAAACTGAAGAAGGCAGGGTGAGTAAGATCACTCTATAGAGGAAATAAATCTGACTGAGACTCACTTAGATCAATCTCAGAAAGAGACCTCAGATATCATCTACCCAACTGTGTATAGAATGTGCTTTGCAAAAGGAAAGAGTTCAAGGGTCACCTAAGTATGACAGATAATGTGTCAAATGAGATTATCCAGGCATATTTCTACTATAAATCTTCTCATAGTACTTAGCATACAGATAATGTACAATTTGCTTAATCTGAGAATAGGGAGTTAGTTTATTATGATTCACAGTATTACTTAGACACAAGACACCCTAACCTTATCCCACATAAATCACTTCACAGAACTAATGCAGCATAGAATATTTTTGGTAAATGTTGACATTCATCACCTCTCCCATTTTATAGGAAAGCAAATAACAGCCAAGGAAAACCAGAATCCAAGTTTCCCAATTTCATATTCTGTGCTTTTTTTACCAGACCCTATTTCTTCATGAACATTATTTCTTATTGTTTTAGGAGGTTTTAATACATCCTTATAATTATTTGAAGAACATAGTTGGGTAAGTGGAACAATATTCAAACAAAGCTAACAGGAGAGGAGATACCCAAGTAAATCCTTCATAAATTAATGACAACCCTGCAATGAATACTTCATTTAAACACTGCATGTTCCTCCATCTTTAGTTTATGAAGAGTAACCTTTCACAATTCATCTAACTTTAAGCATTTTTAAAATTTATCAAGTGATATAATTCATTATACTTTTATCTGAGTTTATTTTTTAAAGATTTATTTACTTATTTATACAAGCACTGGGTACAGTCACAAGCACGGGAGGGTGAGAGAATTCACCAGAAACAGAGCAGGGAACAGAACAGGCAGACAGCAGCAGGCGCGGCAGGAGAGTTCTGCATGCCATGTGGGGACCCTCGCCAGCAGCCAGGGATTGAACTGGCGCTGCAGAGGCTGTGGGCCAGTGCTCAACCTCTGCGCCACTAAGGAGGCCCACTTTTATCTGAGTTTAATTCATAACTAATCCTAGCGTAGGGAAAGCAACTCTTATCAGTGGGCAAAGGAAAAGGCTATGGAGGCAGCTAGATTTAGATTTAAATTCCAAAGAAGGCAGGGACTAAATTTGTGAACTTGTATTAGTTAACCTCTCTAGTCCTCCATTTCCTCACCATCAACTGAGATACTAGTACTTGCTTTGTATACAGCTGTTGCAAAGATTAAATTAGATCATATATGAATAGCAATCAGCATCATGCCTGACATATAACAAAAAAGATACCTATTATTTAATTCTAAGTTGAAATTACTTAAATTGCATAACTTTACCTGTTAGAAAAAATACAGACAGGGTTACCATATAGGCAAATTTCTATTTAGTAAGCTTGTCAAATACAGTTATTTAATAACAATGAAAGACTTGCGTACATATGTTCACCAGAGACAGTAATAAAATGTTTATAGAAGTACAATTATATTAGCTAAAAATTTGAAGCAATTCAAATCTCTATCAGTTGTGTAATGGAAAAATGATGGCATGGTCATGAATGGACCACTACTCAGGAATGAGAATGAATAATCTACCGCTAGTGCATCACCATAGATGAATCCCTAATGATGAAAGAAAGAAGCCATACATAAAAGAGAACATATGCTTTGACTACATTTATATAAAGTTCAAAACCAGAATTAATTTGTGCTCTTAGAAGTAAAGATAGTGATGACTGTGGGAAGGACACATATGGCTGGAGATGTGGAGGGAGGTGGTCTTTTGTGATATTAATTATGCTTTGTGTTTTGACCTGGATATGAGTTATAAAGGGCTCACCAGTCTATAAAGAATGAGTGCTACATAAAATTATAATATGGGCATCTTTCTTTATGTATACATCATTAGAAAATTTAGAAAGAATAATAAGTAACTGAAACATAGTGAAAGTAATACGAACTGGCTATTCAAGCCTAGAACAGAGGAAAGACCTGACTGATTACTGACTGCCACTGGCTAGCATTGAAGTGGATGAATCTCTTATCTCTTAAGGCTATAAGATGCTTCATAGCTGAAATATGTAAGAGTATGATCACAGCCTGGAGACAGAAGTGGGATTTAGTAAAAGAGGATCTGGTTTGTATTAAGTTACTAAGAA